GCTGTATTTTAAGTTTACCATGAACGTATTTTTGAGCTGACAAAAGTGTTTCAGGACAATGTCGCCATCTTTAGCAGAAAAACTACCTTTCCCAGAATGCATTTCCCTTATATCAGTCCCTTATACCAGTCCCATATCAGTCCCTTATATCATTTCCCATATTTCTTTTTGTGTTTGAGAGTCAACTGGTTCTCTTTTACCAGACTTGCTTACAAATTCTTGCCCGGGAGGTTTGAACAAAGCATTTTGCTTTTGCAACTGGAGATTTGAACAAGCATTTTACATTTTCAGCTATGGCACATTGGGAGAGTTCTATTCTCTCCTCAGCTGGCTTCAACAGGTGTCTCTCCTTCATTTGACACTGGCCCCAATCAGAACCACACCTGCCTCGTTAGCCTGCACCGAGGCTGGCATTTCTGATAGCAACTTTGCTCGGGCCTTGTGCTTGCCTTAGCCAGTCAGTGAAAAACAAGATCATGTACCATAGCTCCTTCAGAAAGATTTTCTCCCACTGATTTATCTCATTTTGCTTGTTTGTTCCTCTCCTCCCCCCCCCCCCCCAAGATGCAGAGCTTCAGCTATCTGTCTGCGGCTCTGTACCTCTGCTAGCTGCCTTTGGAGGTAGGGGCTTTTTGTTTCTCCCCCCGAATCTGCCTCAAACTCTAGCAGCTTTGTCAGGTCATGCATTTTCTGGGGAGAAATCTGTCCTCTCTGTTTCTTCAGAGTCTTTCTCCCTGACAGTATCCAGTTTGGTCTCAGTTTATCTCCTCTACCCCAGAAACAGTTTCCGACACTAGAGCGGCGGCTTTCCCTGCTACTGAAGGGGGTCTGTGTGGTTTGCGTACAGACTGAAAATCTAACAAGGGAGGTTTTCGCCATTTCTAAACTCCCATTAGGACATGTGTTTTGCCTCATCAGGCCTTCACCTGGCCCAGTCCCCAGTGGGTTGTGTTTGCTTGTCCGGGTGCTCAAGGACAGAGCTTATGCCAGAGGCAATCACCCCTCAGGGCTACACTCCCTCATCTCAGGGAGTCAGTTGAAACAAAGCTTTTCTCAAAGAGATGCTTTCTCTGATAGAAAAGAAAGCTTTACTCCTGGACAGTTCTGTTCTGCCCTGGCTGGGCTCTTTCCCCAGACAGCGTTCTGACTCAGCAGCACGACTGCTTCAGACACAGTTCAGCTTTATTGTTTTCCCAGAAAGGTCCTTACTCTGATAGGAAGCTTTTTCTCAGATTTCTTTTTGCAGTTGTGGACCTATCAACCCGGGACTTGTAGGAAAGTGGACAACTGTGCCGTTCCCACCGGCTTTAGCTTTGTTTGTTCATTAGCAATCTTCCCCTGGGTCCTGCACCTTCCTGCCTCAGCTCTGTGCTCCAGGAAGTTTACAACTGCAGGAACCCTAGTGTCCCCGAAATGCACTCCAACTCAGAGACGCTGGCCAGTCGCCTCTGGGTTTTTGCTCAGAAGCGAAGATACAATGCTAACAGTTTGCATTGCTTCAGGGGACCTTTGCATTAAGACGATTAGGAGCACCTTTTCATTCTGAAATGCTCAGACAAAACCTTTGATGCCTCAGCTTGGCTGTAACTGAAAAGCCTGTTTTTTCTGCTTTTCTTAGGCAAAATTTCCTGGCCTTTGGGGCTCTCTATAGCTCTTAACCCTTGCTCTCCCCAAGCGTTTCCCTCAGGGTATTCTGACCCACTGTCTTTTACTAGCTTGAAGAGACAGAGCTTAGAAGAGGTTTTTAGAAACTTGTTCCTGCCCCCTGCATTGCAGGGAGGATTTTTAAAGCTTGAAAGAACTTAGAGAGGTTTTGCTGTCTTAAATTTGTTGTTTTCCCTTAGAGCTAATCACAGGTGGTCCCCATACTAATATCTTCAGGTGATTCTAGTTTTTGTCCTTCTGAGAAAAAGTTCTGAAAGGCTTTAGTTTTTAAGTTTAAGAGAGCTTTTGAGAAAGATTAAGGCTTTTTAGAGAGTTTTTCCCCCCAAATTTTCCAAGAAAAGCTTTATAGTTTAAGAGAAAGATTTTTTTCCCCCAGGAGAAAGACCAACTTTTCCCAAAACTTCCCACCTTTAAACTTTGACTTCTTACACCCCCATTTTTGCCTCAGGGAGAAATCACTTTCTCCTGCCGCTTGGACTTAACATTTTGTCCCCAGGTCAAAAGCTTCCATAGGAAACTTTTTCTTCCCCATAAGCTCAAAGAAGAGCTTTTTTACTACCCGTAAAGCCCAAAGAAAGATTTTTTTCCCCAGTTTGCTTTCATAGCTCCCAAAGTGAGAAAACTGAAGAGTTTTCCTGTCTAGTTACCTTACTTATTTTTTCCTACACAATCTTACACTTCTAAGTTTTTCCTAAACTATATTACTACCCTATACCTTATACTTATTTTTCACAGATAGAAATTGAGAAAGGGATAGAAGATAGAAAATTTTGACAGAAGAGAATTTCGTTGCAGCATTGGACATCCTTCCAGTCCGCTTTCCTTTTCTCTCGAGGATAAAACCCCTGCCTCCCCAAAAAATATATATAAAAAATATATATTTTTCATAACACTGGCATGCCTTTCCACTGGCAGGGCTGAAAGCACTTTACCAAAAACTCTGTAATAAAACTATTATTTTCCTTTATCTTTAGTCCCTATTACTTTGTCTTTAGTCCCTGTTCATTAGTCTTTAGTCCGCCCTTTTTTTTGTTCCCCCTTTTTTTCTTTAGTCCCTTTTTTTCCTTTTTCTTTAGTCCCTGTTCATGGCGCCATTCTGTGGGGTGTTTACCCACCACCCCCACAGTTCCCCAGAGTTTTCTTGAGTGCAATCAGCAGGAAATATTAGATAGAAGAATTTATAGCAGAGATAAACAGATAGAAAATAAAGGATAGCCTTGAGAGGGCCTGGAACCTATTCCAACGGGCCCCGACTGTCTCTGCCCCAGGGTTTTTATAGCGATGCCAAGGGGTGGAGCAAAAGACCTCCTCCCCCAGCACAGCCAAGTGCAGGCCATCTCAGACACCTGCACTCAGGCCCGTGGTCCTGATCATCCTCTATGCGGACCTGCTGGGTAAAGCCGGGAGGAGGAACCCGAGAACGGGCTCTCACAGGGGAGCCACAGCTATGTTAAAAAGATTCTGCAAGGCTGAGGTAAGAACAGGTTGTGGAGCGGTGGAATGTTGAAGATCCAGTCAAACCATCCTGAGCCTTTTTTTTAGCTCCCTTACTCACATTCCCACTTTTGACCTAACATCCATGTGACTAAGTGAAACCTTTTGGAGTGTTAACTAACAGCTCATCACTAACTTCCACCAGCCTAAAAGTTAAGAACCTTCGATAGCAACTGACACCTGAGAATATAAGCTGAGATGTCCTCATTTGCTGTAAGCTGCATACCTGATGTTTCCACCAAAGTATATGGAAAATTCCATGATACATGACCTTCTTAAACAGCAAAAACTCCACGAAACTGCACTGTATTTGGGGTAACTGATTTGGTGTTCTTGGACCATGGTCACTCATATTTGGTTCTATAATAAACTCGAGATGAGAGGTGTGTGGTTTGTGCTTCTTGTAAAGAAGTAAATTAAATGTGCAAAAAGGCAAACTAAAATGCGAAGATACTGGCAGAAAACGAAAAACTATAAAGCGATGGGGCTAACTAGTGTTTTCGGAGATGGAAAATCCTGGCTGGGATGGAAAGAGAATATGGAGGCCTGGTTGAGGCTAAAAATAATTTCCACTCAAATCAGAGCGACTTGAAATCATTGCCCTCTGAAGGGCTGGGCGAGAACCGCTTCGGCTCCTGCTGTCAGGTGACGTATTCTAGCTTTGCAGTCCGCAATCGGCAGGCTCAGGGATGCAACTGGACGTCTGCACTGTGGGGAGGTGGCGCCCCCGCCAGCCCAGCTCTTGCTTTGCGCGTGCGCACCAATTCCGGCGCGGCGCCGAGGTTCCGGTCATCTGGCTTCCGCCATCCGAGATAACCCCTGTGCGGGCCAACCCTTAGCGCCTGCGCAGGCGGCGGCGTCCGTCCATCACCATGGCAGCATTCGCTGGGGGCCCGGGTAAGTGCGGAGGGCTGGGCTGGCGCCGCCGGCTCCTTCCCCTGTTCTGGTGTTCCCGGTTTAAAGGAGTGTCTGCTGGGTGTGGAGGGTTCAAGTCTGCTGGAGGCGTGAAGGAGGCCTGGTGGCAGAGTTTACAGAGACCGGAGTAATGTCTCCATGTCACAAGGGAGCTTTAGAAACAATTTAGGGCAACTCGGTTGTTTCAAATACAAAATGAAAATGCATTTTTAATATAAAAAGTTCAGAATGGCCCAGAAAGGGCTGGGCTTCCTGTCTTTTAGCCTATTTCCCCCTCGGGCTTCTGCTATTAGTTCCTTGGTGGATCCTTCCGGAGACAGCTTACTTCCACATCTTTTTACCTTCCACTTTTAACGTTCATACACAGGATAAATACTGCTTGGTATTGACCCTTTGAGGATTTTTATACAATGTATTTTGATCATATTCACCCTTGTCCTTCACCCATCTCTCGGATCCAACAGAACCTTCCTCCAACTTCGTCTTCCTGTGTGTTTGCCCTTCTCTTTGTTAAACTCCAAGGAGTAAATACAGTGGGTTGCCCCAAGGCTAGAGGCCTCTCTCTCGTTTGGGACTTTGGATTTTAAGGAAGTTTTTGTGACTGTTTATGGTGCATATTTATAGGGTAAGGTGATCCTTTTCCACTCCCAAACTGTAGTGGACCTGATAACCTTAGATAGTTTGTCCCATGATCCCCACAAGAGAGAGAGGGGCATCAAAATCACAATGGAGGTGCTGGAGAGAGCCCAGTTGATAACCTTGCTTTGCAAGGGTGAGGACCAGAGTTCCATCCACAGAACATATGTGAAAACTAGCAACCTTGGTACAGGCTACTCTGGGGAGGTGGAAACAGAGGATCCTCGGGGCGTAGCTAGCAAGCCGACCAGACCGTTGGATGCACTCCAGGCTAGCAAGTCTCCCTTTCTCAAACACAGCAAGGGGGAGGCTTCCAAAGAATGACATCTGAGATTGTCCTGTGTTCTCTACATGCACATGCACACGTGGGCACACCACACTACCACATAAGGGCAGTGGGTCTTTGGAGGATGCAGATCCTTCCTTGGTGCACAGGTGTGGAGCATGCCTTGGTGTCTTAGTTTCTGATACAACAGGAACCACCTAACTAGCTTAAGGACAGTTGACCACCAAGGGGCATTCTGACAGGAGCCAGCTGCGGTTTTCAGTTCCCTTGTACCTCACTCTTTGTCCAGGCGCCATCAGAAGTCCGAGCCAGAGTTCCGAGGGCTAAACCCGTGGTGTTAACAGTACTGCGTTCCTTCAGGTGTAGATGTTAGTATTCTTGCCTTTCTGGCTCCGTGGCTCCCAGGATCTCTTCCTGCATCTGTCAAGCCAGAATTGACTGGTTGAGTTTTCACTACACCACCTCAGCGTTTACTGGCCTTCCTCTCTCTAGACTTATTATTAAAATAAGTTATTATTATTATTATTATTATTAAATAATATTAAATAATTATTATTTGTTATTAAAATTTGGACACTCAAATATTATTATTAAATAATTATTATTATTTGTTATTAAAATTTGGACACTCAAATAAACACCCTCCCATTTCAGAGTCACCTGATTAGCAACCCTAATGTCATTTGGAACTAAAATGTCTCATACCCTCACACAACATCTAAAAGAGAAAACCTGAATTTGCAAAGATGTGGTGGTTTTGTGTTCCCCAAAATATTGTGTACTCTAATAAATTTATCTGGGGTCAGAGAACAGACAGCCACGAGATACAAAGGCTAGAAAATGGTGGCACTCACACCTTTAATCCTAGCATTCCAGAGATAGAAAT